TCAGTAATTATAACGTCAAATTCTCCAGTGTGTTGCTTCAAAAATTGAAAACCATCACCCACGTTAAGGGTGACTTTAGGATTATCCAATCCCACACCCATCGAAGGCAAGTATTTTCTAGATACTTCCAATACTTTCGGATCAATTTCAACCTGCACAATTCGCTCTACTAGCGGATGTTTTGCAACTTCACGAGCAACTCCGCCATCTCCGCCACCAACTATTAACACCTAATAAAAAATAATCGAAATAGGTAAAAAAGCTCTATAAAAATTATCGATAAGATAAATATGAAAAAATATAACTACAAAATATAATACTTTTTAAATAATTAACACGTTTACTAACACGATGGTCACCGATGGCTAACATTTCTAAATTTATAAATATTTTAAAATGATTAAAATGAATACCAAAAAAATTTTAAATAATATAAATAACTAAAAGGTAAAATGAAATATGCGTACTAACTTCCGTTATAATGTATTTTATGAAAATTAAATATTCTATATCCCACAGATAAAATATATAAATTTCGTGCAGCAGTTAATGTGTTGAGAAATATTTAAAAATATTCAGTATATATAAAATCTTACAGTTTTTGGATTTGCGTGGCTACACAATGGTAAAAACGCAATCATCTCCTGATAGGAAAATTCGTCTCTCTCCGTGCACTGTATAATACCATCTAAAATTAGGGTCCTTCCGTGTGATCTCCTGCATACGTGCAATTAAAAGAAATTTTGAAACAATGACAAATTTCAATACTGAAAGTTCAATTTTTTTCTTTTTTTTTGCTCTTTAGAATTTATTCTTTATACAAATCTATTTATATTTTACAAAAGTAAAAGATTAGATACAATGTAAATTATGAAATTGAATTATACAATAATTAGCATCAACATAATTAAAATAATAATCATTTATACTTTTACAATAAAAAAAAAATCATTCTGAAAAATAATTAATTTCTTTGTACCATTCCAAATTAATGACTATTTTATTTATTTTTTCAATTTTTCTTTATAGTTATACCATGCTTAGATTACTTTTATCTAACTACAAAAAATAAAATTTTCTCGAAACTGTATTTCAAGTTTAGTAATAAAATTTCACTCAATTTTAAAACTAAAATTTATATTTCCTAATTTTCTAATATATAATATTAATACATATTAATAATATTAATTAATTTTCTAAGCATTTATATTTAGTAATACTACATGTTTTAGTATGTTATGTATTATGTAATAAATTTTTTTAATAATAATCTTCTAATTTTTAAATTTGTCTGTGTATTTGTCAATAATTTTTCAGAAACTCTGCTACTGTCATCCGCCGGTAGTGTCAAAATTCAATCTCTTCTTTAATCTAACCCCTCTAACATAGGAATCGAAGCTTATAAATTTCGCGATTTGTCTTCATGCAATTTATCATAAACCTTCAACGCATATTTAACCTTCTTCCAACTAATCATTCAATTAATCATTCTTCCAATGAAAAATAAATTTCTTTTACGATTCGAAGAACGTAGAAAAAATGGAATATTTACGTGTCGAGCACCATCACATCTTGGTACTGCGATCGTTCTCGATGCAGTATCTTGACGACCTCGAGAGACAACGAAACACCTGGCCACAGATCGTTAATTTCACTGAACCATCCAGGTTTGATTGCATCCATTTCTTCTTCTTCCGCAAATTTTGGCTGGCGAACCGGTGTCTTGTCCCGCTATCCAACTGAAAGTAGACACTGTCGGTCAGTTAATCGTGGAGAAAGAAAATAAAAGTGCCAACTTTTTTATGTGGCCAAACATGTTTCCCTACGACACGGATCGCCACTTCCACTCCCGCTGCAGCGGAGCTTGAAAGAAGAAATGGCGAAACTCGTTTGTCACCTGTGTATTCGTGTTGGTAACATTTGGTTGCTGACACAGTATGCCCGATTTAAATGTATTTATTATTTATTAAATTATTTAAAAATGTCACTAAATATGAATATTAAATTATTTTTTTAAAAAGGATAAAAAAATCGTTTTTATAGAAATTATAAGTGTGATTTTGTTAATATTATTTTATTAAAATAATTTTGATGGATGTATGAAGAAATAAAAAAGTTAATGTACATGTACATTACTGGATGTACATTAGTATATTACTAGAATTTTCATAATGAATAAGATTCTAATTCAAGTTTTAAGTACGTACGTACTCTAAAATATGAAAATAAAAAAAAAAACACATAAGAAATGTATGAAATGGTATTAAACAATTTGACTGGTTGTCTGTTTTCGAATTCCGATAGTACATGTGTTTACGTTACTATGCCATGTCCTTGTACGTAGTATATTAATTGAAGTAAATTTCTCTTCTCCTTTTCCTGAACTATTAGTTCACTATATTTTAATATTTATAATATTGCATCACAAAGAACTATTAATTTTCAAAAGAAACCAAGTTATAGGAATGACACCAAATTAAGGGGATATATTTTCAACTATTAAATAAAGAAACTTTTCTACATTTTCTTAACACAATTTATCACACGATATTTCTTCTACTTGATAACTTTTGTTTTAGATACTAACTTTATTAAAAGAAACTCAGAATACTTGATATCACATAAAATATCACATCAAAAACAAATGGATCTAAAAGATGCTTCAACCCCTAAGGATTACAATGCTATTAGCACGAATGGTAACATATTTTACTAAAACTACGAAATCCAGATTGATGTTATTTCACCAATAATAATAAATATCACCAGAGTACTTGAAGAAAGAATTGTCCCTGCTGCACAGCGTATGATCACACTGTACGATTCTCTCAAATAAAGTACGATTCTTTAAAGTCTGGTAAGAGCGAAGCAATCGGTGTACCGTGTAAAAGTAACGACGAAGCGACAAGCAGACCTTCGAAATGGAAACACAGGCAAGAATGGAAAGTTGACGGGAGTTTACTTGCCAAACGGATGATGACTCTTATCAGTCTCCGTCCCTCTGCTCCCAGATAATGACCGGTTCAACCACGGACAAGATAACACTGCAGTGCAGCATGCGTTGCCGAAACGAAAATTGATTTTCAGATTCCAATAAGAAATTCTTATCGGGAGAAAGCAATAAAGGATAAAGCAGAAGCTCAGGAGATCTTTCTTCATTTCGTTATCGGAATGATGATAATACACAGTGCAATAATTTTCTTCTATTTACATTTATAGCTGTGATTTCACTTGAACTTTGATTCCTTGTCTTTTTTTATTAGCTTTAAACGAATAGAGCACTAAGTGAGATAACGTCTGAGTATAAATGTTGTCGTCATTGCCATCATTTCAGAGTTCTAAATTTCATCTATCAGAATCTAAATTCGTAAAATTGTTTGCTTAGTTACTAAAGTTATTAAATAAGTAAATAATTCTTCTTCGAAATTTTTATGTAATAATATCCACTGTATGATTTGAGCTGTTTACGTTCAGGAGCACACATGATCAAGGTTTTTTATTTTATCATTTAGAGGATAAGTTTGTTCTCGCGTGGAGATGTTTCTTTCATTTTAAATTTGAACGTAAACAAAATGATATGGATGATATATAGGTGTAATTTGATCTTTTATCAAGAAAATAAATTTCATTATTATCATTCAGAGAAACTGTTTCAATATGATACGAAAGTTTAGTAAGAAATGCGTGAATGTGATAATTTTAAACTCATAAGAGACGTTTATTCAAAGTGTTTCCCCAATTCATCGAAATGTATTTATGTATATACAACTAATTTATTGTATAATTATGTACAACTAAGTTGAAATGGATTCAAACACAATTTTGAAATAGATTGATAAAAAAAAAAAAAAGAAATCGACCACGACGTACTCCATATCTAAAGTCAAGGTCAAAATAGTCGCAGAACTATTTCAATTTTGTATACTTAAAATAATTGCGATACAAGACCATGTATCTTTCGTAAATTTTACTAACTATAAAATTATTATTTACTTATAATAAGTTCTATTATTTTATAATGATAATCAATACATAACAATAGTATAATATCAAAATAAATCTCAAATAAGATTAATACCAGTCTAAAATTGATTAATATAAGATTTTTACAATTGTATAGAACGCTTTTTATTTAGGAAGGAGATTTTCAGGAAAGTGTATAGAAATAATCCTTAAAATGAATAAAAATTTGCGAATGGAAATAACAGTATAATAATAATTACAATAATTTCATATATTTAATGTAATATTATTATGTATATGTAACAAAGTATATATAACGTATATATAACGTATACAAAGAAATTATGTTAGATTCTGCATGTAAATTAACATGTGAATGGAATTCCAAAGAATGGTACAAACGTCACATTTGAAATTTGAATTTAAATACCACTGTGAATGCGCTTTAATCGAGCGCCATAACCAAACAGTGCGTTTTGTGCCAACACCGTATAAAACATGTTGAACGTAATTCGTGTGTGATTTTCAAATTTAGAGGGAAAAAATAGGCTTAACTTAAACTTAACTTAACAATTGTTGAAAAATTTCTACAACACTTACACAGATGCCAAATCCTCGTCTTTCATTAATTAATCATTGCTTTAACATGTCTATTTTCACGTCCTAGGTGAAGCCTCTACAATTAAAGAGAGCTATACTCGCACTCTGGTGGAGGACATGAAGGAAAGGGATCGTGGAAAAGAAAAATTTGCGTTTCGTCTCGGAATCGCTAGTCAGATTCATCAGTAAGGCTAATGGCAGCGACCCCTATCCCGGTCGCTTGAGTGAGAAACTCAAAGCCGATCCCGAGAAGCGGTCACCCAGCTCTGAAATACCGACGTAGTAAGATATCAGCAGTTTTTTAGCGCACTCTATGCTTAAATAACGATAAATTAGAGAACTACATCAAGTAAAACGATCGAAGTTGATCAAATAGCAAATGCGCCAGTAACATGATCTTTAAAATCCATTACAGTGTTGTCAAATCTTTAATATCGAAATTTGAAGCTAATAACTAACTGAAATCTACTATATATCAGAAAGAGGTCTGTCCATCTTATGATGGTTTCTTAACATAGTAAATTAAAATTTTAGAATTAGTAATACATAGTTTTAAGTATAATTGATTTATATTGTATAAAACA